GCAACTTTGCCTCCAAAGAGGGGAACTAGGTGGCTGAAGGACTGGGCCAGATAAAAACATTTCATTAGATACCTATTTGCACTTTTTTTTAAAGATTTTATTTATTTATTTTTAGAGAGGGAAGGGAGGGAGATAGAGAGAGAGAGAGAGAGAAACATCAATGTGCGGTTGCTGGGGGTTGTAGCCTGCAACCCAGGCATGTACCCTGGCTGGGAATCGAACCTGCGACACTTTGGTTCGCAGCCCGTGCTCAATCCACTGAGCTACGCCAGCCAGGGCCTATTTGCACTTTTTGACTTAAAGGTACTGACTTACAGGAAATACATTTTTAATTTTAACATATTTAACATAAATATCATCACCCTCCCAGCAATTTTATCTATAACAGTAGCTTGTTAGATTCCTTGCTAGCTATGGTTTGCCCAGCCTCCCCCATCAGAACACGAGCTTATCAGTCTTATCACCATGGATACCCAGCACTACTTGTCACGTGAGCACAAAGTCCCCAGTATTTATTGAATGAACAAACTGACCGAGGGCACACCCTTACACCCACATATGACTGGAAAGGCCCTGCAAGCACCAGGCCTTTGGCTTCCTGCTTTAATTTTCCAGGATCTTGCTAAGGAGCCTGGTGTGCTTGCAGGGCTGGCTCCAGCATTTCTGTACAAAAGAGGCTTGTGTGTCCCAGGTAATAGAGGGGAGGGAGAGGACTTTCTTAAAGCTATGTTTATAAAGCAAGCACGGTGATTTTCCTTAGATTTCATTATTTATTGGGATAGAAACTAAAGAACCTAGTGCTGATATAAAGAGTGCCTTTAATCCCAGGCAACTTCCCTACTGGGAACAATAAAATCATTAAGAACACAGAAGTACTCTGTTTTAATAAGATAATGTGAGAATGCTATTCTATGGACAATGAACAAAGGAGAGGGAGTTAGTTCAGAGGACACAGGGTCCCTGCCTACACCAATCAAGTTCTTGCTGGGGTGGTAATAGCCATAGATCTTCATTGCTTACGTGCATTTCTTGCTCACTGGTCTGTGAATAGCTATGGCGTGGCTGCATTCAGCTCCAGAATGCAGGTCACAATCAGGACATCATGCATACCTTTCATTCCCAGTCAAGTGGCAGAATGGCCACCTGGGCATGCTCTTAGTGGATGACAGCTACACAAGGATCAAAATATGCAGACATAGATCAAGTCCACTCGCCATATACTGGCCAAAGCCACGAGGCAGAGAAATCTACTCCTCCAAAGATTAGAGGAAGGGGAAGGCGAAGATTCAATAGAAAGGGAAAGCAGGAGGCAGATTTCTAAGCCCTCAGGAAAAACGAAAGGATCTAGCAATTTGCTCAGAGTCTGGGAAATTTCTCAAATGCTTAAGGCATCTGGTTCCCTATCATTATATACTGTATGGGTCAGGACAGGCCACAGCAATGACCCCAAAATCCCAGGGGGTTATCAAAACTGAGGTTTAATTCTTGCTCATATTACTTGTCCATTATGGGTCCATTGTCTCTGCTCCATGTCATCTACACTTTAGGACCCAGGTGGGTGGAACTGCCTCTTCCCTGAACATGGCAGGTTTTGTGGCAGAGGGGAAAGAGACAAACAGTGAAGCACAAGCTGGCTCTTAAAGCAACAGCTCAAAAACCACACACACCATGTCCACCAGCATTTCACTGACCAGGGCAAGTCACATAATAACTCTTAAGTGCAACAAGGGAGAGTTATGTAATTTTCCACAAGAAAGGGGGTACCAAAAGACATATGGTCAACCCTGAAGTCAATGATTAGGGGAATAAAGGTCTCTTCAGGGAGGGGCAGAAAGTATCTTGAACAATAATAAAGTCCAGCACTCCCACCGTGGGCCATGGGAGCTGGGACCAGATCCTTCACTCAGTGATCAGATGACTAGGTTGCCTAAAATCCAGGTTCATGAAGTTGTGTAGCTATTCAGGATCATGTTCTTTGTAGCTTTTTAAAAGCTCTTCCTAAAGGATTTAATCAATTGCTGCACAGTGGCATGTGATGTTCAATACCACCTAAAATTTAGTTCATTTTTTAAATCTGGTTTAAGATAACCAGTATTAGGAAAACAGACCTAAAACATAAAATTTTCTTTTATTTTTAATCCTCACCCGAGGCTATGTTTATTGATTGGAGAGAGAGAGAGAAACATCAGTGGGTTGCCTCCTGCATGTGCCCAGACCAGGGCTCAAACCCACAACCTAGCCATGTGCCCTGACTGGGAACCAAATCAGCAACTTTTGGTGTATGGGACCAAGCTCCAATCAACTGAGCCACCCAGTTAGGGCATAGAATTTTCAACTGATAAGTTTGAAAGAAGGAGTTCTCCACACTCAGCCATCCTGGGGATGGGATAAGCAGAGAGCTACATCTACCTTATAACTCTGATGGCCTTTTCCCAGAATCCCACAGTAACCATGATGTTGCCGGCTCAGACCCACACTCCAATGATGCTGTTTACTGCTTGGCATTGGTGAGGCGGCCTGGAAACAACTCTGCCTTCACAGCCCCTATTCTAAGGCCCAGTGATTACTCAAATTCTTTTCTATCCCTTGCAAACGCACTTCGAAATACAAGCAGTGCCTAAACGATTGGGTTGGCCAAAAAGGCCATTTGTTTTTTGCTGTAAGATGGCTCTAGTAGCATATAGTTGTCTTTAATTTCATTTAAAACAATTTTCTTACATTGTATTATGACAGCTGTCATATTAGCATGCATTTAAAAAAAAAACACAACTGCCCTGACTGGTATGGCTCAGTGGATTGGGTGCTGGCCTGGGAACCAACAGGTTGCCAGTTTGATTCCCAGTCTGGCACATGCCTGGGTTGCAGGCCTGGTCCCCAGCTGGAGACATGCCGGAGACAACTGATTGATGTATCTCTTGCACATCGATATTTCTCTTCCTTTCTTTCTCCCTCCCCCCGCAAAGTAATTAAATGGAATCTTTAAAAAAATAAAATAAAAATAACAATCAAAATGGGTGAGTTTTTTTTTTTAAATATTTTATTTATTTATTTTTAGAGAGGGAAGGGAGGGCGATAGAGAGAGAGAGAAAGAGAGAGAAACATCAATGTGCGGTTGCTGGGGTTTATGGCCTGCAACCCAGGAATGTACTCTGGCTGGGAATCGAACCTGGGACACTTTGGTTCGCAGCCCGTGCTCAATCCACTGAGCTACGCCAGCCAGGGCTTAAAATGGGTGAGTTTTTGTGCAGCCATCTTAATATTGAAGATGGAAGAAAATTAGCAACATTTTTGGCATATTATGCTTTATTATGTCAAGGAAGATAGAAATTCAACAAACACAAAAAAGATTTGTGCAGTGTGTGGAAAAGGTGCTGTGACAGATCAAATGTGTTAAAAGTGGTTTGTGAAATTTCAGGCTAGAGAGTGCTGGCTGGATGATGATGCTACGGTAGGGTAGACCAGCTGAAGTTGATAGCAATCGAATCAAGACATTGAGAACAATCAGTGTCATATACCACATGGGAGACAGCCAACACACTCAAAGTATCCAAATCAATAAAGTTATTGGTGAAAATGAAAAATCTGTCTTATTTTACAGAAAGAAAAAACGGAACAGATTTTTTTGGCCAACCCAATCGATTGTGCATGTTACCATGTCTAGGATGGAGCTGTCAGAGAAGGCAATAAAGGACAAAGACACCAAGAAATGAACATGAAACAGGGCTAGGATGAATAAATGGAGGGGCAAGGACAACCACATTTTAGTGCAGCTTCTGAAAATGAAGCTGAGGGGTCACAGGAGTGCGGGAGGCAGAGGGAAGCAGAACGCCAGGCTGAGCATCAGGAGATGAGCACTGCAGAATGCCCCCCCCCCATTTCCCAAGTCAGCCCTCCTCTGGGAATGGCACCATTCTCCGGGCACCTGGGTCCCAAAGACTAGGAAGTTCTGACTTCTCACCCCTATCAGTCACTTCCCAAGTCCCAGCCATTCCCCCTCCACGGTCTCTCTTCTCTCCTCCCCTTCCCGTTGCCATGCCCTTCTTCGCGGCCAATCCCAGGCTATCCCTCATCACCTCCATCCAGGCCAGCTGATTGCAACAGGCTCCCAACAGGCTTCTGACTTTCGAATGAGCTGTTTTGGTCCCAGTGAGATAGGACAGAAAGAAGTTAGGGGGAAATGCCGACAAATGGAGGGAGGAATTGGGATCCTCACATCCTCACACCATAGCCCCCACCCCCACATACGGGCACAGGGCAAAGGGAAATAGTTTATCTTCGCAGAAACCCTGCCTGTGGTAGAAGTCGAGAAAAACAAGGCCCCCTCCCAGCCAGAAGCAGAGTCAGAACCTGGCGCCACAAAGCTTAGAAACAGCCCCCAGACTTGGAAACACATAAAGTCCCACCTTGTGTGCAACTCACTCTGCAGCGGGCCCCTGTTCGTTTGGGCTGGTACGTTCACTTCTTTCAGAGCAGTGGTCCAGTCCTCCTGGCCTCTTCCCTTTTCTCCACCTGAACAGAACCGGCTCTGTACTCACTCTAACTCACTCTTTAAGTTTTTCCTGGGTGAGCCAAGAACCTGGAGGTTGGGAGACAGGTCCCAGAGAAGCAGGCGCAGGGCCAGTCCCTGGCACTGAAACGATTGGTAACACCAGCACACTCACTAATTGGGCACATTTGTGTGAAGAAATCCTTCGATCTCTCTGAGCCCACTTGGCCTCTCCGCAGAGTAGAAAACTACAAAATATCTCAGTTACAGAGAGGTGTAGTGAACATGGAATGAGACAACAGCTAGAGAGCCCTCTGTCAGGCACAGGACACTGGCAAATGATGGCAATGTTGGGGTGTCCAACCTGCGGCCTGCAGGCCGCATGAAGCCCGGGATGGCTGTGCATGCAGCCCAACACAAAATCGTAAATTTACTTAAAATATTATGAGTTTTTTTGTGATTACATGTTGCAATGTATTTAATGTGTGGCCCAAGGCAACTCTTCTTCTTCCAGGGTGACCCAGAGACGCCAAAAGGCTGGACACCCCCGTACCGTCAGCGTCCATCCCGTGCTCGGCAGCGCGTGTCTGAACACAGCACTCTAACTCTGCAGAACTGTTCAATGGTTCCCCAGCGACTGCTGAGTGAAGTCCAAATTCTTTGCCAAGATTCTTCACAATGCAGTTCCAACTATCTCTCCAGACCCATTTCTTCTCACACAACCATCAAAGGTCAGCTCAAAAGGGACCTCTTCCAAAAGCCATCCTCGATCTCCTCCAACCACAAATATGAATCCCTTTTTCTTAAGTGCTGAAGCCCTTTACATGAACTTCAAATGAATGAGGACATTCATTTGTCACCTTTCTTTCTTTCCTTCCCTCCCTCCCTCCTTTTCTTTATAGCTGTAGCTGGGAGTGTTTAATGCTTTGTGCATACAGGAATACCAAGTTCATATAGGTATCCTGCCAGGAGAGTAGTAGGAGATTCGATAATATTCCCAGTAGAAAGATCAATATCTTTATCATGTTTTCTTTCTGTTCTGTGATGAACGTAAAGGATTCTATAGAACCATCAGGAAACATCACACAGGGGGCTGGCAAAAGTAGGTTTACACTCTAGCCCAAAGCATGCTTGAGTATAGCAAGTAGTCTACAAGTATGTGTAAATAAGGAAGGCCCGCAAAGAACAACTGTAAACCTATTTTTGTGCACCCCTGTGTTTGGTCTCAGCTGGAGGAAGTGGTACCCTGGCTTTAGTTTTTTTTTTCTCTCTGCAAAGGCAGAAAGCTGCAGGAGGGCAGGGCTGGGCTAGGGAGAGGTGGATGGGCAGGAGGGGACATTTTATCCTTGCTAGACTTTAATTGTCCATCATCTTGCAGGGTGCTGCACCCACTCTTCTGTGGCTGCTCCTCCCACTGATGCCTTTTGGTTTAGCTCTCAAACTGAGGCTTGAACAGTGAAGGAAGCTTTCACTTTATACTTTAGACTGTACCTATTTATAGCTACCACTTATTAAGCTCCAAATACATATCCAAGTTCTGTTAGATTCACATCTATTTCTTCTGACCAAAATAGCAACTCTCAAATAGCAATGGAACTAATCACATTTAGATGGAAAAAAAAAGACGAAGAAGCTACCAACTTGCAAGAAGGAAGTTTAAACACAGGACAAATGTCAAAGCCCATGTTTTTCTCCTGATGCCTCCCTTGGCTTTATTCATGGCCCTTGACTTATGCCCCAAGGAACTCAGAAATCCCTTCTTAGTGGGTGTAGTCTGATTTATCTTTGTTATCCTCACAGACCACAGCCAAGTTGTTTGACCTCTATGGGCCTCAATTCCTCAGCTATGAAATTGGGAGTATCAAAACGCCTGGTCACCTAATGCAGAGATCAACTCATTTGTAAATGTTTGCTAAGCACTTTTTATGTGCCAGGCAGTTTTAAGCATCTTACTGACCCACATAAAAAGCCTATGAGAAGTATTATTATTAAGTCCCTTTTACCTGAAAAACTAAGGTAAAACTAACTTGTACTAAGGTTAACAAAGCTTTTAATTGGGTGGCAAAACTTGAACCTAGGCAGACAGGTTCCAGAACCCGTGTTCTCAACCAAAATGCAATAATACCTCTGCACAGATTGGGAGTGCAAGAAAATTAACTGAAGAAACATTAGAAATGATAAGACTTTCAGAATGTGGGCACTTACAGAATTCATATGTAAAAATAACATATATAATATACACTAATTGGTTTCTACTCATCAATCACCAAATTAATTAATGGGATAGAAGATACCAGACAAAATGGGGGGGGACAACTAAAACACAAAGAAATAAATCTAAGAAATATGCAGAAAATGCACATATGCTATAAGAAGGACGTTTAAAAAGTCTTCAATAAATAGAGAAAAACAACACTTTCCCAGCAGGAGAGACTCGATAATGAAATAGGAAAGAGAGGTCTTTTTCTCCAGAACATCTCCGTATTTAACACAAGGTCAATTCAATTTCCTGCCTGGTTCAACATAATGGGCACTTCACATAAATTGGTGTGACCTTTGAAGTACCTATAAATATGTTGCATGTAGCTCTGGCTGGTGTGGCTCAGTGGACTGAGTGCCGGCCTGCAAACCAAAGATCACTGGTTCGGTTCCCAGTCTGGGCGCATGCCTGGGTTGCAGGCCGGTTCCTAGCTGGGGACATGCAAGAGGCAACCGATAGATGAATCTCTTGCACACAGACATTTCTCTCCCTTTCTTTCTCCCTCCCTTCCCCTCTCTCTGGAAATATGTAAATAAAATCTTTTAAAAATAATAGTAACAATAAAAATGTTGTATGTACATCTCCTTTGAAATAGAAATTCTACTTGTAGGAATCTACCCTGCAGAAATGCAAGCACATGATACCAAAGATGGACAAGGAATGTTCAGGGCAGTTTTGTCTGCAATAATGAGAGAGAGAGAGAGAGGGAGAGAAAGAGAGAGAGAGAGGGAGAGAGAGAGAGAGAATATGAGCACAGGAGGGGTAGGAAGGAAAGAAGGGGAAGAAAGAAAAACCAACTGCAGGGCAAGAGAATGCCTGGCAACAGGAAACAAGTATTTAGGATAATTACACAAGGGGATGATATGGGGACATTAAAAAGAAAAAAGTTTAAATATACTGACCAGAGTCTTATCGAGGTCTCCCTTATTAATTGGATGTTTGTGTTCCTCAAAATTTGTCTGTTAAAACCCTGATCCCCCGGTGTGATGGTATTTGGAAATCTGGTCACTGGGAGGTAACTAGGGCCTGTCCCTGCAGCTCTCCAGCTGAGATCTGTGCTCTTGAAAGAGAGACAGGAGAGAGCTTGCTTCCGCTCTCTGTGGAGCCAGAGAGGACACAGCAGGAAAGGGGCCATCTGTGAACCAGAAAGGAGGCCTTCACCAGAACCTAACTAACTCTCACCCTGATCCCCTGATCTCAGGCTTCCAGCCTTCAGGACCATGAGAAATGTTTCTGCTGTTTGAGCTACCCAGTCTATAGTAATTTCTTATAGCAACTGAGCAGATGTAAAAAGTCTCTACAGGGAAAATACAAACTATGTCAATGCAAATGGTAGAGAAATATTCATGGTATGGTCATTGTACTTTTAATGAGGAGTACAGTTTGGTGAAAGAGAGATGAAGGTATGGGGGAAGGAGGTTTCCTGTTTTGCTTTCTATACATAGGCAAAAAGCATGCATTACTTTTACAGTCATTAAACGTTCAATTTAACTCAGAATACTGAGTCCTGTGTCAGGCACTGGAAGGGTGGACATGACATTCAGGGCCCCTCTGCCTAGGACGCTTGTGATCAAAAACCCAGCAGAAATCCAAACATGGTTTTATTTTGGTGGAGCAGAGAGAGGTTCGTTCCCTCAACCAAAGTATTTTAATCATCTGAAGTTAGCACTAATAAAAACTTCCAGGAAACACTCACTTTGGTGGCACGCATACCGATTGGAAGGATATAAGGATATATGGAACAGTAAGGTCGTGCTGTGCAATGATGCCATTTAAGTTATGTAGTACTCCATAATTTTATTATTGAGAGGGTGGTTATGTCTGACAAAAATTCATCAAAGTAATACATTTAAATTGTGCATTTTATTGCATGTAAGCTATACCTTAATACTAAACTATACCTTATTTTTTTTTAACCAAGGAAAATGATGGTACAGGGTAATAAGAAAGAATCTGCCAAATCAGACATCATACCTATTATAAACCTTCAGTAATTAAAATATGGTGCCCTGGCACCAACGTGTACTGAAATAGATGCAAAAATCCAGATAAAAATATGTAAAATTTAATCTATCATAATTGTAACAAGTTAAGTCAGGGGTAAACAGAAATAGGCTTAATAGCCAGGCCGCAACTGGTTAACCATTCAGGAAAAGTAAATTAGCTCTCCATTCTACAATTCAACCTAGAATAAATTCCCTATTAAAATTTTTAAATGAAAGCTTTAAAGTACATGAAAAAATGACAGGACAATATTTATGTAGACTTGAGTTAGGAAAGGCCCTCTTCAAGCAAGGCCCTCAAGCATAAACCATAAAGAAAAAGAAGAAGAGAGATTTTAGTAATTAAAAAAGGTAAACTTGTATGTGGCCAAAGATGAAAAACTAACAAAAACATTAGGAAACTGAGAAAGACTGTATAACATGAACAACAGATCACTACTTTAATATGTAATATATAAAGAATGCTTAAAAGTCACAAACAGAAAGTCAACTGAAAAGGGGGGAAATACAGAATAGCTATGGGGATGTAAAGTACAGTATAGGAAGTGGAGTAGCCAAAGAACTTATATAGGACCCATGGACATGAACAATGCTTGAGGGAGTTGGGGGTGCTTGTTGGAGGGAGGCAGAGGGAGAAAAATCAGAACTGTGATAGCATAGTCAATAAAATATAACTAAATAAAAGAAAAAAAAGAAAAGGGGGCAAAAGAATTAAGTCAATTCACCCACACAAATGCAAAAGGCCAAACCACATTAGTAAAGGTGTTGACTTCCCCTGGGTAATCAATCAGACATGCAAAGTAAAAGAAGATACTATTTTTGTCCATGTTATTAGTTTAACTGTGTATACGTAGAGAAAATATTAAGATATCCAGAAAAAATCTCAGCAATCTAGAAGATGAAGTTTTAGGTTATCTTTATTTCCTCCTTTACATTTTTGTTGCCTGAATATTTTGTAATAAACTTTTCCTTTAAAAAATTCTAATTGTAATAATATTAGGTGTTAGATACACATAGGTGTCTCTCTTTTCACCTTTCAAAGTACCCGGGTGCAGTGCACTCTAGAAATGCACCCCCTAAAAGAATCTATCTCTCCTTACAAGGTTTGGTTCTCTTGGGGCAAATGTGTGCACGGGTTTTGTTAATGGTATGCATAGTGAGTTAACTGGAGCCGCCCTGCGGACCCCGGCAGGGAACAAGGGACCAGCAAGGGATGCCCAGGTCACACTCACCCTGCAGGAGCTCTCGGCCCCGGAACACTGCGGGCGCAGTGCGGCACCGGCGACGCCCGCGCCCAGGCCAGGAACAGGGCTAGACTAGCTGGGGTGGTCCTACTTACTCCTCGTGGAAAGAAAATGGGAAAGGAAGCCCAGAGTCCGGGATCTAGCGTCTGCCGCAGACCTTGGGCAGTACCTGCTGAGCTTGGGCCTCAGTTTCCCCAAGGCCAAGGCTAACGGTCTTCATCACCACGCTAGCTCCCTTTGGCTGGTGTTTCCAAGGGACGCCTTTCCTTGCCTGGTCGCCCTTTCTCGACACCGCGCCGAGAGGTCACCCGCAGACACCCGTCAACGAAGCAGCGCATTAGGCGGGTGCCCGGAAGGCCACAGGGGTGGACGTGCGGCAGACCCTCGCCGCTTTCAGGCAGCCATTAGACAGCCCGGCCAGGCTGGGCAGGAGCCGGGCGGGAATACGGGGCATCTTACCTGGACTCCGGCACGCCCGGCTGGCGCCTTCCTGTTGGCCTTGCGGCGCAGCCGAAGAGGTTGAAGGGTGGGGAAGCGGCCTCCCCGCTACGCTCATTCATCCCCGCGCTTAAGCCGGCCTGTGCCGCGCAGAAGGACGCCCTTCCGAGGTCCCTGAGATCTTGCGGAAAGAAGCGGCAGGAGCCCGGGGCTGGCCACAGTGAAGCCCGCCTACCCAGGGCGCAGGATCCCGGGCTCAGGCCCTTCCTGGCTGCGCCAGCCCCAACAGCTGCTCACTGTGCCAGCTGCGGCCACCCCTAATCCTGTTGCGATGCCAAAGGGACTGGGAAAAGCGTGCGCAGTGGAATCCTACCGGGTGGGGGCGGTCAGCTGCATCCCCCTGCGCACGCGGAGGCCGTCGCCTCTGGTGTCTCTCGGTCTGGCCGAATCACTCCCCTGAAGGAGCCATTGCGGGACCCTAAAGTCCCGGAGGAGCCGGCACAGCGCGGTTTGGCGACTCGCCGAACGAAACCTCACCTCCTCCCGCGCAGCGCAGTTCCATGTGACCTGTAAGCTGCGAGAGGACCGCAACCCCCAAAGCCAGCCTGGAGAAACAGGGACGGCAAAAGGCGCCAACTGATGGGCAGAGAGGGAAAAGCAGGCTCAGGGAAAAGGAAGTTGAAATGAGGGGAAGGATTTAGTCTTTGCGCGGTGCACAGCCCCCAGCTTGCTGTCAACGCCGTTCTCTGCTGGAGGAATTTGTTTATGCCAGTAATAAGAATAATAGCGGACATCACTTCCACCACCAATTCCAACCGTGCCCAGCTTTACCCCAGGCACCTTATGAACATACCTCTAGCTTTCACTTCACTCCTGTACATTAGAGATTACTAACCTCAATTTGCAAATAACGAATGATTTGAGAAGATAATTAGCCAAGTGCAACCCTTACTCCAAAAGCCAAAAATGTAAATATTTATTAAAAAGCAAAAAAGCTTGGTCTAACCAGATCACCTAGCAAAGCATAGGATTTAGGTGTGTAGCTCTTTCCAGTTAGCTCTCAGCCTCTCCCAGGAGTGTCTTGGGTGGTTCATTTGAGTCCGAAGCAGTACCCATCCCCCACCCTCAATTTTGACAGGTAGGTAATAACATATCCATCTTACAGATGGAAAAATTGAGGTTTGACCAAAGGAATGATCTTGTTCAAGTGAAAGAGCTTGTCAATCTAGGCTACTAGTTAATAGCGGAGTGGTTATTTACTTGGCACTGTGTAAAACACAGAAGTCATATGATTTTAGTACTCACACAACCTTACAAGGAAACTGCTGTTACTATTCTAAGTTAAGGAAATGGGCTCAGAGTGGTTATGAATTTGCATAAGGTTACACAGCTATTTAGTGGCAGAGTTCAGATTCAAATTTACATCTTTTTTTGTCTACAGAGCCTTCACCTGTCTCCAAAGCCATTGCTTTTTGCTTGTTTGTTTGTTTGTTTCCCCCTACCTTGTGCCACTTCTTGCTGCTTCTATTGCTTCTGTATTTTTGCCAAAGATGAATAATATATCTAACCCATATGCAGAGGTACAGGGCATTGTAACAGCATCAAGCCCAGTGTTGAGCTCATTCCCAGACATCTTTTTGGATGATGTAAATGGCATCTAACAACTGAGGTCTGTATCAGTCAGTAGCTGGCTTTTTGAATACAGGGCCCATACCATACCATTTATGGATCCAGATGCTTCTCCCAAACAGCACCAGACATAAGTACTAGGGGCAAGCCAGAGCTGCGTGTGTATTTCACTCTGGCCACACTGGCCCTCTGGCCTTTCTCAAATACACCAAGTTCATTCCCACTTTGTGGCCTTTGCACCTGCCGTCCCTTTGTTTGGCATACTCTTCCTCTACATTTCCACGTTGCTTGCTCCTTTGTGTCCCTGATCATTTTGCATTCCTATCTTCCGTACTTTTCCCTTTTCTCCTCAAGAAAAGGCAAATGAATGATTACGAACTTCTGGTTCTTTGCACATGGTGACCTAAAATTAAAAATCCAAAATGAAAGGCAACTAGTGTTTATTTGGGATCAAAGAATTGCAATTCTGGAGCACAGCTTCAGGCAAAAACCCCATTGGTGTCCTAATTACAAGTGAAGGCAAGGGATTTTCATGAGAAAAGGGAAGGAATAATTACATGAAAGGAAGTATGAATTCCTATAGGTGCTGATAAGCTGAGCTACCCTGGCTATAGATGATTAGTTTTTCATTCTGTCTTCAGATAGAGTCCATAATCATCAGTCCTTGTGGTCGAGATGCCCACTATTCTGTGGCCTTTACAAACAATAGTTTGTAAGACAATGTTTGTTCATCCTAATCCAAAGGTCTGACCCGGGTGTAACATTCCAATGGTTACAGAAGCAAGACAAGTGAGGCAGTTCCTCTGGGATGGCAGCTCTGATTCCATTTGGTCATGGCTCCATTTATGTCATTTTTCACACACAAAACATCTAGGAGAGAGAACCTAACAAAGGGAGAAGAGAATCATGGGGAAGGCATCTGAAAAGTGGCTGCAATTACTAATGAAGAAAAGTGGAAAAAGAAAAGCTGAAAAGGAGGGAGGAGGAGAAGAGAAAATATTGAAAATATAAAAGATAAATTTTTGAGATTAAAAAAAGAGGAAGAGAAATGTCAAAGAGGAAAGTAAGCAAAAAAAACACACTGGTAAGCACATTTTAGTGACATTTGAGAATATAAAGGGCAAAAAAGTCTAAAAGCTTACAGAGAAGAACAGATCAAATACAGAGGAACAAATATCAGAATATCATTAGATTTTTCAACAGCAATCATGGCTGCAATAAGGCAATGGGGTAAGGTTTTCAAATCATTAAAGGAAGAAAACTTAGAATCCAGAATTTTATATCCAGCAAACTTTTTCAGATGTGTGGGCATGTCAAAAATGTTCTCAAGTACAGGCAGGCCTCACTCTTGCACAGTAGTTCTTGCAGAACTGTAAACATGATCATGCATGTTGAAACCATACAAAACCATTTCAACAGCTCACCAGAAAACATATGATTACTCCTTGACCTTAACATTTTTTTGGTCAGAACTTTAACTACTCTCTTGCTGTTAGTTATGAAAACCTTTTTACTCTCTGGGAAAATGAAAAAAAAACAGTCAAACTAATATTTATTGAGTACATTATAGTTCACATTTTAGAAACATTGAGAATTAAATATTTCTTCATTTAAAAAATCAAGAATAATTTGAATAGTGTTTGCCCTTTTCTTTGTATAAATTACGATGTATAAATTGTCCTCTAATAAAAGAGGTACTCTTTTTTTTTCTTTTTGTAAGATTTTATTTCTTTATTTTTAGAGAGAGGGAAAGGGAGGGAGGAAGAGAGGGAGAGACACATCATGTGAGAGAGAAACACGGATTGGTCACTTCTCTTATGCGTCCCGGATGAACCTGCAGCTCAGGCACACGCCCCACCTAACCTGGAATCGCACCAGCCACCTTTCGGTTTTCCAGATGATGCCAAACAGAGTCACATTAGTCAGGGCTATCTTGAATTCTTTATTGGCCACGTTAAGAATCTGTATTTCTTTGCTTAAATTCTTGGTGTTGCTACTGAAAAAGGCTTGTCTCATCAATATATAATTGTAAGTGATCTTCATAACCACCCATGAGTCTGCATTTCCCCCAAACACTGACTCTGACCTTGAACAAAACAAAGTTTTATTTTGTGCCGATCTCAGCCTATCTATAACCAATGTTGGGGTTGGACTGGGTCTTGTGGTTCTTATTATGACTGCAAGACACCCTTTTGCAATAACCATCGGGAAAGTTTGAAAAAATAAAGGTTTATTACTTTTAGGACCTGAAAATTATACAGCACACCTGGAACCTCTCTGATAGGGGGATGGAGAGGGTCCATGGGCTTGGGCTTCTGCTTTTATTAGGGTTGAGGATGGGACCTAGGATTTTTGAGCTTATTCCTTTCTGGTGATTTAAATCTTTTTTTTTTAAAGATTTTATTTATTTATTTTTAGAGAGAGGAAGGGAGAGAGAAAGAGAGAGAAACATCAATGTGTGGTTGCCTCTCATGTGGCCCCTGCTGGGACCTGGCCTGCAACCCAGGCATGTGCCCTGACTGGGAATCAAACCTGCGATGCTTTGGTTCGCAGCCCACGCTCAATCCACTGAGCTACACCAGCCAGGGCAGGGTGATTTAAATCTTAAAAGTAAGAGTAAGAATTTAAAGCTCAAGAAGGGAAAAAAAGCAAGTGGTCCAAATGGTCACTTACTGAAATCAATGAAGCTCTCTTAAGCAAAGGAGCCTTAGTCCCTGAAGGAGGGTCCAAGGCGAGGCAGCCTAGCTCTTTAAGTCTTGTTGCTGGAAATGTGTTTATTCCACCTGGCTATCCCTGAAGTGGATGCTTCTTTGAAATTTATGCCTCTGCCATCACAGTTTAAATCAGGCATTTGCATTACAAAACAAACAAACAAACAACTGTCAGTACCTACACTACAGCATGACCTAGTGTTAAACAACAAAATTCGACTTGGTAAATTTGGAGATCTAATTGGCTTTAAACAATTAGATTGGACAGCATCACGTCTAGCAGGCAGAGAGATACTCCAAGGGGTTGCACAAATGGAAGCTTTTTATAGGAAGAGGGATGTGGCAGGGGAGTTATTAGTAAAGGAAGACAAATGGGTTGGATTTAATGGATTATTTCTAGAGCAGAACATCTTAACTTGTGGGTGGAAAGGAATGGCAAGGGTTTTATCATGCAGATTTCCCTTGGGAAAAAGGAGATGAGGAGAGGGCAAATGTGACTAATTACCTTACTGGTGCTTCACCAGGAAATTCGGGGTTGGTTGATTAAGATTATGTTTCTGGGAGGGGTTGAAACTGCAAGTAAATCAGGTATTTTATCTAGGCTTGGTATCTTGGGTGTTAGCTCAATTAAAGCTTTCTGGGCCAGTGGTTCTCCTCAACACTAGCAAGTCAACTACAAACAAGTTTATTCAACGAAATGGAATGTAAGTTTTAGTAACCAAGCACAATAGAAAACGAGGTACTTGCTCATACATGCTTTATAAATTGAGCTGTGGACAGGCTGCTGGCCTGGTCCCTGGTGTGTCCCTGGCCCTCCACGTCCCGTGCTGCTAGAGCCTTTCGCAGCTTCCTGGGTTCTCAGCGACCCAAGCAGGAGGGCTGGCTCCGGCTGCAGAGATCCGCTGTGAGCACTCCTCGGCGCGGCCTGTCGGCGGCACCAAGTGCACGCTGCTCCGCGCTGCAGGCCGATTCCGCTGCGTCCTGTGGAGCAGTGATGGTGGGCACTTCGGAGGCCCGGGAGGTGGGGTAGGCGCTGCTAACATTGCAGCAGAGGGCACCCCAAAAGGACCAGGAGAACATCAATCCCGAGAAGGCGTCACGCACCCAGCCGCCCCAGACCAGGGGCGGGGCGGAGCTGGCACTATTGAAGGCCCGGGACCAGCGGGGCTCAGCGCAGCTGCCAAGGCCCAAGAAGCCACGGGGTTGCACCTCTTAAGGATCTTCGTATAACTGCAGAGCATGCCATTGTTCCTTCCTGGAAAGCA